CGCCGTTGAACACCGGCCTCTAACATAGTCCTGGCAACCTGAAAACCAGCAAAATTACTTCAGAACACGAGTGGTCTTTGGAGTGACCTAATCAGCTGAAGAATTGCTCAAGTACTTACCAAAGCATCGGCATATCTAATGAACGCAAATTCAAACATAGGTTCTTAGATTTGAGAAGTAATACGAACATACACAAATCATGCTGATCTGAGAATTAGAACTTGCCTGTAAGTTGAGAAGACCCAACACTGAAAGAGGCAAGAAGAACTGTGTGATCAGTGTGGCGATATTTTGATAGAGCAACATGAATAGATGATCGCCTCGTAGCAGTGGCACAATTGACTCCTCAAACGTGGCTAACTCAGAGGATTCTGAGAGTGTGAACTCCCAGAATCGCACAAAATTGTAAGCGATTGAAAATAGCACTATCAACAAAATGGTCACTGCAGCACGAGACCTGAAATTGAGCAAAATTCAATCGTGACTTCATGAAACTCAAATTGATTCAGTGGACTCCGTCATTTGAACTGAGCTTCAATTTTGCTTGCCTCGCGTGAATATCTGTGAAAATAACGTGACAATGATACAACACAACTTCTTTGGGTTGGTTGTAAAAGTCTGATGGAAAAGGAGAGGGTGAAGCGAACCCTCCAAAAAAATGGATCCGAAAATACGGTGAACCGTAAAAAGAATTACGAAGACCGCATACTTTGTACAGTACATTCGCACTTGGAATGGATGACAGACGGCTAAATAGCGATCAATTGTGATGCTGACCAATAACCAAACGGACATACTCTGTAGCATCACCGTTACTGGATAAGCGAATAAGAGAATGTGCCCAGAAAGATAGTGCGATAGCCCTGAAATTTTTTTGCTGATTAATTATATCAATGGCGCACACGTTTTCATGACATCAATCTCTGGAATTTGGCTTAAAAATACTCATTGGAATGAATAGAATTTCGTATCTCATTAATCTATTCGTTTGGAAATAAATTAAGATTATCAATTCCCGAAAAGTGCATTCTAAATTTTTCAATTTCCCAACGTTTCAATTTATCTCAAAATCAGCAAAAAGCAAGCGTCAGACACAGTCAATCAGGCAGGCTTTTTTGCCGTCTTCATCCGAGCGCTGCTTTATCGTTATTCATTTCCTAACTGTGACAAAATAATACGGGTCATCACACCTCGAAAATTCAGCACGATTTACAAAGAATTTGAGCAAATTTGGACATGGACAAAATCTAAGAAGCAACTGAAACCTTCAATCCGTTCAAGCCGAAATCGACGAACTCACCAGGACAATAGACCTGAATTTGGGTGATTGAGAAGACGGGAATGGCGAGAATGCACAAGAATAGATCAGAGGCACTTAAGGCGGCTAGCAACAAGTTGATTGAACGATTCCGAAATGACGGTCCCCAATAGATATATAGTGATAGTGAATTACCAACGGCACCGCATAAACACATTAGGATCATCACGAATGCACACACCACGGAGGCTTTCTTAACAAAATCATTGCCTGAAACTTATGAATTTTATCCAGTTCTATCGATGTTTTCATAGTATCCGTCAAACTCTGGCATATTCTGTCACATTTCATCAAATCTACCAACTCCCCGGTCTCTATAAATACCACCAGTGACCACATACACATCATAATGCATTTGAAATCACCAACCACTCAAGCATGAATGCTTTACATAGAGCTCAGCGTGTTTGTGTTTTGTAGATAAACCATTTTATAAGTAACAGATTGAGTCATTTCACCGAACTGCTCTTGACTAAGTTTTGACTCTCATAACTCCAACCGAACTATCAAAAATTTGAGCAGTCCCTACTCACTTAAATTTGGCCAAA